TTTATTTTATTTTATTTTATTTTATTTTATTTTATTTTATTTTATTTTATTTTATTTTATTTATCTATCTATGTATGTATGTATGTATGTATGTATGTATTTATTTATTTATTTATTTATTTATTTTCACTGCATTCTAAGGTAAAATATCAAAGCCTTCTCAGGGCACCTAGCCCTGCCAGCTCTATCCCTCCCACTTTGCTATCCAAACTGTGACCTCATCCAGATATGTAGCCTTAAGAACATCTCCACCCTGCGGACTTTCAAGTGTGTATCTCCACTGTTCCCCTGAACCCTGCCCTCACACGGCCAGCCATACATGCCTGAGACAATTAAGTGCAGGCAGGTGGGTGGCATGCGCAGATCAGTTTCCAGGATGCCAGTCCCAACGGATGCCTGCTTCAGCTGCGTGGTTAGCGTCCTGTGTGTGGTCCTCCTAAAACCCCTGTGCCCTAAGCTTTCAGCAGATGTGTCTGTCCTCTACACCTGACCACATCCCTGTCCTGTACTCACTGTCTCTGTACCCAGATTGTAGAGGCAGCTAACGCCACCCACTTTCACCCTGTCCCAAGAAGCCCGGCTCTGGAGCCAGGAGTCTTTAGGCCTTTCACAGTTGTTGGGGTCACTCCCTTTTCCTCTCTCTCTGCAACTTCCCCACTTTCTAGGAAACAGCTGCGCTCTCTCAGCCCACCCTGATACCTGCTTCCTCTCCTCACCACCCAGCCCGACTCCAGTGTCACATAATTCTTTCCAGTGACTCTCCATGAGCACTGGCCTCGAACAGCTGCCAGACAGGCATAAACAGCAAACGTGCTCTCAGCTCCCCTCTCTCATGTAACATCCCATGCACACCTGCCGCTCATAGCTGGCTTCAGCCAAGGAAACCTGCTGCTGCTATTCAGGGAATTCAGGGTAGGGGAGTCCTCCCTCGGGAAAATCGCTGTTTTCTTGAGACCTTGAACCTTGGTTATGCGTCCTGTGACTTTTCTGACAAGGTCCCTGAAAGAAGCTAGAAAGTTAACAGGGTCTCCCTGCAACACGACACATCCTGAGAGACAGAGTGGCTAACTGGACGCCTGCCAAAGTCAGGTCCCGAAATCGTGCAGGAAGCAGCCCAATGGGTGTGTGTGGGCTCCGAGTCCAGGCATCTACTTATGGCCCCGCTCTGCGCTCCTGGCTTTGTGGGCTTGTGGGGAGGGTTTGTACAGTCTGTATTCAACATCCTGGGAGTGTCTTGGAATGATTCAGGGATGTGGTGCATCCCCTACAGTGGGCCTGGCCCACAGACCTTGCTCCTGTGCAAAATCCACGGGGAATGATGCCCCTTTCCCACTCCCATACACACAGCCTAAAGGGTCGTGAAGCCATTTCTAGTCAGGCCCTCCCCACCCCCACCCATTTGCACACTCACCTGGTGCTAGGATGGACATCTTCAGACCCAATGCACTCTGAGGAAGGGGCCTCTGTCTCCGAGGATGGGACTCAGCTTTGGAGTCAGCTTTGCACTCTCCACAGCAAGGACAGAGAGCCCCTTAGCTACTGCAGCCTACGCACCTTCGAGCACCCACCCTCCAACCTAGTCCCTCCAGGACTAGGGAAGGCATAGAAGCGTTTGTGGGGTGTTCTAGCCGCAGTGGTCTGGGTAAATACGAGAAGTTCTGAAGCACCCCTAGTTTGGCCAACGCTCAGAATGAGGTCTATGAAGCCGGGTGACTTAGGCCAGGTTCTACCACTGGGGGGCAGGCTCCCCATTTCTCTAGAGCCTCAGTGAGCGTGCAGACCTAGTTCGTTGGAAATCCAGGCTTCCTGTAGAAGGATCTTAATTTTAAAGATTATTTTAAACGTTGGCAGATCCACAGGACAGAAGCAATTGTGTTTATGGGAATGGGACTCAGTGCCAGAGAGTTCTGCCTCCTTTTCTGGAAAGGCGGCAGAAGATGGCAGGGTGGTGCTGGTTGTCTTGGGTTTATTCATCATGGCCTTGCTGGTGAATGCAGGGCATTAGGGTGTGTCTGTGGCTCTCCTTTCATAGTGTACTTCTGTGACTTGTCTGTATAATCTATATCCTGAAGATGATGAATCAAAATTAAATCTTGATAGAGACAGTACATGGTCCACTGGACATGTGGTATTGGCTTCAGTGGTGACCAGACGCTCTCAGAGACACTTTCGGGCATGGCTGCTGCCTGGGTCCCAGGCAGAACACTGGCTCTTCCCAACATCTGTATAAATATGCTGGCACAAACATTAGCCCTGCCAATCCTCCTCCACTGTAAAATAAGAAACAGCTGTTACCATTTATTACAGTCTCACAAGGACCTGCTAAACTCTGAGCAAGTTCTCCTCCATTCCATGAAGAAGGCACGGATCACTTGGAACCCTCATCAGCCAGATAGTTCAGCCACACACTGCCCAGTCACCTGGGCCATCCATAGTCCTATCTGCTTCAGAGATCCCAGCCTGAAGTGTTGGCTCCTTTTATGAAGAATCTTGAACTGAAGGCAACCCTAACCCTAACCCTAACCCTAACCCTAACCCTAACCCTAACCC